GGGACCCCAAAATCCCACCTGGGCTCCCTGAGGGACCCCAAAAATCCCTCCTGGGCTCCCTGAGCAGCTCCCAGGGACCCCAAAATCCCTCCTGGGTTCCCTGAGTAGCTCCCAGGGACCCCAAAATCCCTCCTGGGCTCCCTGAGCCACTCCTGGGGACCCCAAAATCCCACCTGGGTTCCCTGAGCAGCTCCCAGACACCCCCAAAACCCCTCCAGGGCTCCAAGTGACTCTCAGGGACCCCCAAAACTCCTCCAGGACACTCCAAACCTCTTCCAGAACCCCCCTAAAAGCCTCCAGGCACCCCAAGTGCCCTTCACACCGGCCTGAAGCTCTTCCAAGGCTCCCCACAGGCACCTCCAGAGGCTCAGGACACCCTAAAACCCCTCCAAGGCACCCCAAAGCTCCTCCCGAGGCCTCCAGGGCACCCCCAGGGACCCCAAAACTCCTCCCGGGGCTCCCTGAGCCACTCCTGGGGACCCCAAAANTCCTCCCGGGGCTCCCTGAGCCACTCCTGGGGACCCCAAAACGCCACCAGGGGATTCTGAGCCACTCCTGGGGACCCCAAAACTCCTCCCGGGGCCCCTTGGGCCATTCCTGGGGACCCCAAAACTCCTCCCGGGGATTCTGAGCCCCTCTGGGACACCCCAACGCCCTCCCCGAGGCTCCCGGGCACCGCAGCCCTTCCCGAGCCGCGCTCGGGACCCCGCAGCCCCCGGGAGCCCCGGGGAGAACCGGGGAGAACCGAGGAGAACCGAGGAGAACCGAGGAGAACCGGGGAGAACCGGGGAGCCCCGGGGAGAACAGGGGAGCCCCCGGGGAGGCCCGGGGAGCCCCGAGGGAACCCCGAGGAGCCCCCGGGAGCCCCGGGGGAGAACCGGGGAGCCCCCAGGGAGAACCGGGGAGCCCCGGGGAGAACCGAGGGAACCCCGAGGAGTCCCGAGGAGCCCCGGGGAGTCCCGAGGAGCCCCGGGGAGCCCCCGGGAGCCCCGAATAGAACCAAGGAGCCCCGGGGAGCCCCCGGGAGCCCCGAGGAGCCCCGAGGAGTCCCCGGGAGCCCCGGGGAGAACAGGGGAGCCCCCGGGGAGAACCGGGGAGTCCCGAGGATCCCCGGGGAGAACCGGGGAGCCCCGAGGAGCCCCGAGGAGCCCCGAGGGAGCCCCGAGGATCCCCGGGGAGAACCGGGGAGCCCCGAGGAGTCCCGGGGAGCCCCGAGGGAACCCCGAGGGAGCCCCGAGGATCCCCGGGAGCCCCCGGGAGCCCCCGGCCCCTCCGGGCCCCTCCGGGCCGGCGGGGGGCGCTGTTCCCGCGCGGGGCCGCTCCGCCCGCCGCTCTCGCTGCCCCGCCGCCATTGCCCGCCGCCGCTCGCCCTCCGCCGGCCCCGGCCGCGCCGCCCCGGCCCCGGTACCATCTCATCGGGGCTCAGGATCCCGAACTGGACTCGTTTGATGGTGCGCAGCGGGCAGGCGCTGTCGCCCGAGGGCGGCCCGCCGTGCATGGCGCCGCTGGGGCCGCGGCCTCGCGCCGCTCCGGCTGCTCGGAACCGACCCCTTCACGGAAGGGCGGGGGGAAAGGGGTGGGGGGTGAGGGAGCGGCGAGTTTAAACCCCACCGGGGAGCCGGCGCCTCGCGGAGCCTCGGGGGCGGAGCTTCCCCTCCTCCGCTCCGGCCGCTCCGCGCTCCAGGCGCGACTGAGCGCTGCGAGGCGCCGCCGCCGCCTTATATAGCCTCGGCCCCCACGCGCCGCCGGAGGGGGCGTGGCCGGAGCGTACCAAGCGCCTCACGGGGAAAGGGGGGGGGAAGAGCGGGAAAGAAAAGGAGAGACGCGGTCCCGCCACGGCCCGTGAGGCGGGCGGGCAGCGGGGCAGGCGAAGCTCCGCGCCCGCTGCCCCGCGAGCCTCTCCCGGGACGCGCCATCGCCGGGGCGGAACCCCCAACCCCGCTCCCGGCGCGGTGGGATCGGTTCATGAATAATTCATCGCAAACGCACCGCCCCCCCCCGCGGGGGCGGGGGGAGGATGGCGGAGCTTGACGGAGATCCCCGAAGTGCGGACGGGAGCGGGCGGACACGGCCGGAGAGCGACGGAAAGGATCGAATTGAGCCGGCGGTGCCCGAGCGCCGACGGAAAGAGCCGGAACTGGCCGAAGCGTTGGCGGCAGCTCTCGGCAGATGCCGAAGCGGTGGCGGAGGCCGCGGGGAGAGGCGGGAGCTGCCGGGAGCTGCCGAAGCTGAGGCGGACGGTGCCGGAAACGGCCGAGGCGCCGCTCCGGCCTCGCCCGCCCGGCCCGGCCGCTCCCGGCGCTGCCGGCCCGGGCGCGGGCGCTGGGAAAGGCCGAGGCTTCGGGGCCTGCTCCGGAGGGGCGCTGGGGAAGGGGCCGGGCGAGGCGCTGCGCTGCTGGAGGGGCAGTCCAGGAGCGGGAAGGGGAACTTTGAGGGGGAGCGGAGGGGTTGGGGGCGGAATGAAGGGCTTGAAGGCAGAGGAGGAGGAGCGCGGGGCTATGGTTGGGGCAGGGAAGGGGCATTCAGCCAGGCAGGAGCAATCCCAGGCAAGGAGGGGGATTTGGGGGGCACGAGGGGGTTTGGGGGGCACCTGGAGCAGTGAAACAGCGATTGAGGAGAGTTTGGGAGGGGCAGGAAGGAGCACGGGGCCAAAAGTGGAGGGGGAAAAGGAGAATTTTGGTGTTTGGGGGTCAGGGAGGAGGTTTTGGGGACAATTATGGCAAGAAAGGGGAATCTGGGGGAGAAGGGCAGAGAGGGGGGAAGGAGGAATGAAAAGTGTGTGTTGGGGGATTTTGGGGATTCAGGGGCAGAGGAGGAGAAATTTGGGGAGCAGGGGGGGATTTGGGGGGTCAGGAATGGGGGGGCTTCCCCCGTGTCACCGGGGGAGGGGTGACGTCACGGGGCGTCACCGGGACGTGGCGTGAGCACGGCACAGCCGGACACACAAGGTGACACGAGTGTGACGCCGTGCGACGCAGCCTGAAATGGCGTGACAGCCCCACGGGGCACAGTCGGAGACAAAATGTGACAAATGTGACAGGTGACACGACTGTGACACAGCCCGAAATCGTGTGACAGCCCCACGGGGCACAGTCGAACACAAAATGTGACACAGTCTGAGGTACAACCCAAAGCCACAGTCTGACACAGCCCCACAAGGCACAGTCGGACACAAATGTGACAAATGCAACACGAGTGTG